CCATTGACGAGAGATCTCGTCATTTAAGAGACAATGTTTACCGGCCAAAGACGAGTTTTTACGGCAATCCGTGTATTTTGCTTGAAAATGCACTAGTTTGATAAAAATGCATTTTTTGTCCAAAATGTATTTCTGATTAAACTTATCTGCATTCAAGTGGTGATAAAACATGAGCACATGAAGATAGAATAAAATAGTTTTTTTGTTTGTTTAAAAGCAGAGGCTCGGTTCTTTGTTTTGATATACATGTTCATGTATTAATAGCAGAAAATATTCTGAGGGCTGTCAAATTTAGGTGAAAATCATCAAAATTGTGGAGAGAGTATCACAACGCATGCGCTGGCTTCCGGTTCATGTGAACAATGCATGCGCATGGCGCTGCTGCTTATGTTAACACGGACATGCGTCAGCACGCGCATGCCATATATGTGGCCAAAAGTTTGTTTGTATTTATAATTTCATTTTTTCAGATTGAATAATTTTAATTTTTGAAATTTATTGTTATATATTATGTCTTGCAATATTGGTCAGATATCTTAATATTATATTTTGATGATGTTCCTGTATTGACCAGTACTAATATACTCCGTGATGTGAGCGCCTCTAAAAAGAGGTGAACTGTTTTCTGTTAGTTTATGTCTTTAACCGACTTAAGTCTATGTCTGTCCTGCTCATTAAGATAATGTGTTTGATTTTAAGATTTGGTCTGGTCCTTTGTTCTTAAGGTTAATTGGATTAAGGGTGTGTGTGTGTGTGTGTGTGTGTGTGTGTAGCTGGTAAACAGTGTAACTACTCCTAATGGAGTTAAAGCTCTTTACAGATTAGTCCAGAATCATTTCTGAGAGTCTGAATGATGTGTTCCTGTCTCTTTGATTCTTAAAACAACACGTATATCCTGATGTCAGGATATACTTATAAATATAGTTAGAATGCATTTCTTTACAGTGTCTTAGTTGCATTGTAACTGTGTCTCCAAATTGTCTGAACTGTGAGCCGAATTAACTTTCTCAAGAAATTGGTGCTGTCTAGGGCTGGGTGATAAAGTCTGAAATTTACGTACATCTGTAAAATATTCTGTATATTTATTGCTCTGAAATGGCTTAAAAGGGTGTTTTTGTTCAGTTAGACTGAAAAGGTTTCACGCTACAAAATTGTTAGTAATGATGCAACTAACATGCACTTAAAATAAATGGCCAAATGAAAAAGGATTAAAATCATGCACAATGTTCCTTAAAGCTAAATATGCACGGAGTCATCGTCTTGTCCAGGTCTGTCTGATGTGTGATCGTGTGTGTAGTTTCCTCCTCAGAGCAACGCTGCGACAGACGAGCAGAAGGTCTTTGGCCTGTGGGAGAGCGGAGAAACCTTCGACAAGGTGATTTCTGAGAGCTGATTTTCAGGTTTTTGCATGTTAATTGTGTATATGGGATTGAGTATATGGGAATGCTTTTGTTTTCTCCGCAGCACCGGCAGGTTCTGTTCGAGATCTTCATGAAGAACTATCGCGTCAGAAGAAACGTGATCCAGTCGCGCCTCACGCAGGAGCTCGGTGACGCTGTCACCAAAACAGATGTGGATCGACTGCTCAAGGTGCCGTTACAATACTTCATTCTAGAGTTGTCATGCTACAAAAAAACATTTTAACTGTAAATACGTATTTTATTTAGTTTTTGTTGTCATTTTAAAAACAATGGTGTATAACCTTCTAGTATTTCTCAATTAAGTAAGCATCATTTTTCCAAAACCTTTTCCAAGTGTTAGACAAACAAATAAAAAGTCAGAAATAAAGTAAATAAATAACAAATTACAAGCAATAAATCAGCTAAAAAATAAACTGTCAACTGTTTTTTTTTTTTTTTTTTTTTTTTTTTTTTTTTTTTT